ATACAAAAAAAATCTAATTCAGACCAACTGTGTGAGTCAGACAGTTCTGTGATGAACAATACTCATCGATATTTTAATAAAATCTATGCAACACCAAATTGCACTTGAGTTGCTTAACATAAAGCATCCTGCAACTCATGAAACTCAGCCGCAACAGTTGTAAATAGGGATGCATTGATAAACACACAATCACAGAAACTTTCCCAATACGGGTAAAGACATGTAGGCTAGCAAAACAGAGGTGGAAAAAAGTCGACATTGTCATCTATGCTGACTTTACTGTGTTTGACTCAACAGAGTTGAGGTGTAAACATTACTACAGTGATATTTTGTAAAACAGGTTATATACAGGACATATCGTCCTACTGTGTACATCACTGCCTGGTTTAGCTTCAGTTCACAGTGTTGGCAGCACTGCTCATTTTGTCTTTGCTCAGAATGGGGCACGCAGAATGTTATTGTGAATAAAAACAACTTCATTGATAACTATTCACAGACAGAGCGTTTTCATGCACTGTGAGTATATAAATCGTAGGCTTTGTCCATACATGGTGGTCTGTTCAAACGTACAGACTCACCAAATAACAAGATATTAGAAATCACACAATGTATGTTTGGCTTTAGAGGACATTCAACTATAGCTCAACCAGCCAAGACTCTGAGAATGTATAAAACACTACATATGAGCTTCTCGGATGTAATTCCTGCTGTCTCTGTCCTACAGAGACTGCTGTTGAAAGACATAGATAAGGAGCAAAATTACAGCTGTACAGAAAAGGTTTTCTGATGTGGAACAAAACCTGCTCATCTCCACTGCAGCGCTACTCAATCCAAGGTAGCGTTGAATAATATATATGCATAGCTAGCTAATGCACTTCATTTAAAATCAGATAAATGTAATGAATTTAACTGTTAAAGTTGCACACATTAACACTAACAACTACTTAACTGTAAGTAGATTACTCAGTATGGTATCAGACTCAGTAACGGTGAGTACTAAAAAATGTGTACTCATACTCCGTCTGAAAAAAACTGTATCGAAGCATCCACCATTATAAGCATCTCAATTTTATAAAACAAATTTCATGAAACAGTCAATTAAAACGGTGATAGCGCGTCATGTGATCACATATAACAAATGATTTTATTAAAATCATTTAATCAATAAATCCAATTTTATCGGACTAATGGACAAAAAAAAACTAAACCTGAAGACAGTTTATTGGGTGGTGGAAAGAAGACCTTCCCCCTTTTGACTGAAATTACTTTATGTCCCTTTTTTATGCAGATCTCAGATTTCTTTGGGACCCAAGCAACGAAAATGATTATAGAAGGGAGAGTGAGTCATGGTCTGCGATGAACTTCTTGTGCCTCTATGAGAGGATACGTGAGACATCAATCAGGATATAACTGTAATTTCTACATTCATTTTCAAAGCATAATGTATATACAACAGACAAAAAACTCAAATATATAAGTAAAGAACCTATAAAGATAAAGAAAAAAGAATGGCATTGTCAACTGGAAAAAAATTGAAAGTTGACAAATGCTGCAAATATGTAAATTACACTTCATGACATTATAGCAAGAACAATGCAGTATTTCAAAAATACAAGCAGCTACTAACTATCTAATTGAATTAATTTAATGCGTTGTGTGCAACACTGTGTCACGCCTATGGCATGCTCTCTTGAAACGGACTTCATCTCCCAGAATCCCATGGGAGATCATGTGACTCTGCCATCGAACGCGGACTCGGATTCCGACAGAGACTCCATTGCCCATAGAGCAGTAGGGGCTCACGTGACCAGTGACTCGCGCAAACACTCCTATCAGCGCTCACAATCACCGGAATACTAACTGCTTTCACCTGTGTGTATTTTTATGAGACAGCGAACTAGTAGTATATAAGCCCGGGCTTTAGTTAGGTTCGTTGCGAGGTATTGTTTCCCTGAGACTTACTGAGCGTTTATATTCTGATTATCTGACTTTCGTGTTTTTGACCACTGCTTTTTTTCTCCTGTTTTGTATTTTGCTTCATCCCTCTGGTACTTCTGCCTTTACTGATTGATCTGTGTTTTTTGACTTTTTGCCTGTTTCATGACGATGATTTTGCTCTGCCCTTTTTGCTCTGTTTGCTGTTGGTTACTAAACTGTCATCAACTTTCCATCCGCAAGCGTCTGGTTTCTGTTGAACTGTCACACACTGTTTTTGTATTGCTTCATGTAACTGTCAAGATGCATTATTTTTAGGCCACTCACAACATGCCACTAATTGCATGAAAGTTTGACCAGCCTATTGTCTGCAAGAAATGCGTTGAATACGTATGTTGTTAAATGTGTTGTTAAATATTTTTTAATATACTTTTAAGCATGGCTGGCTACAATTTAGAATGACAACTCCTCACACTCTTACATTCACTTTACTTAATCTACAAATTTAAGCTAAGTGGACATTTAACCTTCCATGGAGACTAATTACTACATGTCCCAAAGGTCCACTTACATAAACAGCTTTTAAAAACAAAGTGAACACATCAATAATTGAATAAATGTGATTAGTAGACATCAACCAGTCGGCAAGCCAGTTTTAGCTTATATGTATAAAACGTTTATCTTTTAATTCACAGTGGCTCACAGTTTAATTATGTATTAGTAATTCTAAAAGGAGTATTTCTGGCCCTGTTTAACACTTGGTATTAACATCCACCTTGAGTGATCCAATCATAAGTAGACAATGAGATGTTTATCCGAGGGCTGTAATGATCATGAATATTTTAGCTAACAATTAATTGTCAAATACATAAGTGCAATTAATGATTTAACTGTCACAGAGATTTAATTTTTCCTTGTTCATTGTGTGCATCTACTAAAAGTGGCCAAACTTGTTTATTAGTCTAGCTATGTTTACTTGGTAGCTAACACTAGTATTGCTGTTGAATAGATACACTACACTGCTTGAAGCATGCACACACAAGCTTATATTTTTCTTTAGAGCAAAAATACAAGCAAAAAAACACATTCTGTTAACATGCATGCTTAAAAACATGAAAATTAGCTACATAGCTAACAAACATTATTCAGCGCTGCCCTCTAAACATGTTAGAGCACCAAGTTAAAACTTTCTTGCTTACAAATGTACCATGATGTCTCAAAGAATACATTCGTTGCTTTATTTTATTTACATTTATTTGCCTCAACCCAACACACTCAATTCACATTGAGTTTGTGTTGGCTTAATAATACTGAGAAAATCTAAAGACTGTGGAAAATGACTGCGGTCAGTTTAAATAACTGTGATCAGGCGATCATATCATAAATGTGACAGGTCTAGCATAGCCATTTACGCTTTGCATTTCCTTTTGTCTCGAAAGCGTCTCCAGTGACCTGATTTTGTGACTGGAAGAATAGTCCCACCCACATTCACTACATCAGTCTCTCGCTACATTTGGTGTCAGAAAAAAATGTACCATGGACTCACATTCTTTTCAAATGAAAGGGCGGTTACAAACATTTAGGCCACATGAACTGCTAATGACACTTGTAAACAAACGTTAGAAAAAACAAAAAATTACCTCACGGAGCTGCTGTGATGATGCACTTCATTAAGGTGGTCCGCTAACGCGGTCGAGGACGCGTCAAGACACTTTAGCGTTCACACTACAAATGACCTGTGACGATATGCATTCCTGACCACCTCCGAAGGAGGTATGAGTGATCAGATCACAATGACCTCTTTTCCACCATCGAGTCAAATGGTTCTAAAGGCCGTACTGGGCCGTACTTTTCCATCTGTTGTACCACTAAATCAGAATCAGAAAGTACTGAAGAAAACTGCACAAACAAGTGGCTAAATGCTAACAGGCTAATAGATACACATACACCATCCACCACAAAATACATTTGATTACGTCTGTCACTCCAACACCAGTTTCTGCGTGCTCTTTCTTTATCCTCTAAACGTGTGGTATTTGAGTATCAATTACTGAAACAGCGTGTGCTGCGGGTTTCACCTGTGGCTGGCGTAATTACACCAGCATTAATGCCGCCAAGCAGAAGATGGCTCACAGAACAAGTCTTTTATCCTTCTGTCACTTCAACACCAGTCATTCCAATACTGTGCTCTCAGACAGTCTTTATCTACCTCTAAACGTGTGTTTTAATCATGGGTTCGTTAGAACCAAGCCCATATTGTGAAGGGAAGCATAGTACATTCACATTAGTTTAGCCTAGCAGGCTACAGCTTAAAGCACAACAGAACGGGTCCGATTTCGGCTTTCTCTCCACCACCAATCAGTCAACTTTGCTCTCGCTGTTATAAGTTTTTATCATCTATACTTGTGATAGCAGAGCACTGGTTAGTCAAATCGAACCTGCACTGGGTTGTTCGGTTCTCTTTAGCTAAGCTAAGTTTGCTAGAGAGGACCCAGGTAGCATTAGCTCAGCTAGGAGGCTACAGCTCCTGACACCAGAGAAGAGGTTTAATTTTGGCTTTCTGTTCCTCTAACATCAGCCACTCTACTTTGCTTCCTCAGATTTAAGTCATTATCATCTAAATTTGTCAGTAAAGCTTTTGTTAGTCAGAATCAAACCTGTTCTGTGGTGAGCAGAATGCTTACTGTAGATTCACATATATCACATATAACAATGTAAAAGATTCACAAAAAAAGAGGATTCCTGCTGGAAAATAAAAAAAAATGTATGCAAGCTGGTTGAGTGAGACGTGTGTGTATCCGCGTGTTTGTGTGTGTGTGTGCGGGTTTTAAAGACTGAAAGTGCTGTTTGACAACTTCTGTGTGATATTAATATGGTCGGGCAAATCTCTGAACTATAACAGTATTATTCCAAAATAAAAGTCTCCTCCAAACACACCAGAGCCCGCTTGTGGCTCATTTAGACACTGAAATGTATTTCAGCCATATTCAAATCACTGAAATATACGAATATCTTCTAGAACAAAAAAATCTCCTATGAAATAACACTGCTACTTTCACACTCACCCACAGACGTGGCATTTATACTCCCTCATGCCCAGGTGTCTCTTTACGTGGTTCCTCGCGTCTCCGAGCTGTGCTGTAGCAAAATTACATATTTTACACATGAATGGCTTCGATCCTGTAAACATAGAGAAGAGAAAATCACCAGATGTTTTACAGTTGGATGTTTGATATCATTTTAGTCAGTTTTATTTAGAAAATAGTGTCAGATTCAGATTAGAATTCACTTCAGGTCAAGATTAAAATTTACTTCATATTTTATAAGAATTAACTTCACATCAGATCAGAGTTCACGTTATATTGTATTTCATATTTCTCATCAGATCAAAATTTCAGTTCAACTGTAAGTGAAAGAGCAATAAAATGCTGTTTTACACAGTTGTCCTTGAAAGAGCACAGGAGACTACATTAAACTAAAAAATTATGTACATTTTTTTTTTCAATTTTAACAAAAGAACCTGTGTCTGTTATAGTCTTTCTATAAAAATGGAAATGATTGCCCTGTGACAAAATGCATGAATACTGATTACTACACAGTATTGGCTACTAAAATAAAATATACAAACCGTGTACTAAAGCTCTCCAGTTGCGAACTCAATAACCTGAAGGTAGGCTAATCTTACTTTATATCCAGTCTTGCTTTATATTTGAGAATGGACTGAATGTGTTTGTGTATACTGTGAAAAGTTGCTGGTGAACCAATAAAAACAGCCTGTGGTACCTGTGTGTGTGCGCACATGAGCCAGGAAGGCCATGGAGTTGCTGCTCTTGCAGACTTTTCCACAGTATTTACAGACACTGCCCTGGTTCTCCTGCCGTTCACGGTTGATTTGCTCTGTGTCCTCTAGAATGTACTTATTAACCTCCCTCAGCAGTTCCTCGTGTTTCTCTTTGATGTGCAAGAAAAGCTCCTGTTCTGTCCCACAAAGCTCACTGCACCGCACACATTTGAAGCTGGCGCCCCCTTCTGGAAGCTCCTCCACACTGCCCTGCTCATTGCGCAGGTGTGCAGCGCTGCTCAGATGCTGTTGCAGGTTGCTGTCTGTGTAGAAGGACTTTCCGCACAGCAGGCAGTGGAAATGCTTCTCCTTGGACGGATGTTTCATGGAGATGTGGACATTCAAGCCGCTCAGTCCATCAGCCAAGAAGCCACAATCTTCACAGCGGATCCGTGGGTTCGGAGCAGCTCCTTTAGTGCCAGCACTTCTGGCTGGCCTCTGGTTTTTCACCTCCTGCAGGCTTGATGCACTGGTGGTTGGTTTAGGTTCTCCTTCAGTCACCTCTTGCAGGGCCTCAGCCTGTGCTTTAAGGGGGAAAATGCATTCATCAAATGGAGTGGCTCTCAGAGGCAGGTTCTCACCATCAGTTCTCACCTCCAGTGATTCCTCATCTTCATCATCCTCCTCGGTGTCCTCCACTGCACGTTTGCCTGAACTGTTTGACTGCACTGGGCCACACAGATTTTCAGCAGAACTTTGGTTTGGCTCTTTGGTCTTAGAGGCCCTTTCTAAGGTCATATCATTCTCCACTCCATCACTTCCTTCTAGAGCTTCTGCTGAATCTCCTGTCTCTTTAGCTGAGGGTTTCTCCACGTTCTGGTGTGCATCTTCAGTGAAGGTTGTTTGGTTAGCTGGTGCTAAGTGTGTGTGCTGATTCACCTCAGCTGAATCTTTTCTGTCCCTCTGCTGCAGATACGTGTCCCGCTTTTGTTTGTGTTTTTCTGTGGCCATGTGTCGGGACATCTCCCTGCGCGTCACGGCATAATAACTGCATGCCAGGCAAACAAACTCAAAGTCCCGTATGTGTTTGCGCCGCACATGGAGCCCAAGGGAGGCCATAGAGTGGGCAACGAAATCACAGTGACTGCATGAGTTCACCAATTCGTACTTGTTTTTTTTACATGGTGCCTCACTCAGAGTTTGCTCCATTTCATCACCATCTTTTTCTTCTCCGGTCGCTCCTTTCGTTTGAGCAGCCCACATCACCTCCTCCTCACTCATGTGAACTGCCTGCTCAGTGTCCAAACACACCACGGCCCCACCACCCCCGTCTACCTGTGCTCGTTTAACATGCTTCTTAGTCTCACAGTGGCGGTCCATGTCCCCTTTAGTTACGCAGTAATAGTTGCAGAGCTTGCAGAAGAAGCTGTACAGGCGACTGTGCCTACGGCGGATATGCACGCTGAGGTTCGTGGGATTGGACGCAATGAGGCCACAGTGGCTGCAGGTAGTTACATGACTTGATTTCGGTCTCCCGCGCTTTCGTCTGTGAGTAATGGTTCCCTCAAAGTTTTCTTCCGCTGAAAAAATTGCAGTTTCCTGAAACTCTGGGACACACTTAGAAACACTCTGAGGCTCCACCTCTCCCTTACCCCCTTGCTCACTTATCTCTCCTCTCTGCTCTTCCTCTCTCTGTTCATTGGAAAGAATCACCAGAACCTTTTCCACGCAGTGCTGGTACAGTGGACTGGTATTTTTCTCCTGAGCGGCCTGCAAGTGGAGGGGTCCTTCCAGGTGTGCCTGCATTGCCTCAGCTGTGCATGTGTAAATGTGGCACATCTGGCAGTGCAGCCTGTTCTCTGCACCATGCTGCAGTTTCATGTGCTCAACAAGCAGGATGGAGCTGCTGGCTGTGAAAGAGCAGCTGCTGCACTGGTGCTCAGACATGTCCCCTGTAGAGCCAACTTTATCCACCTTGAAAGATGTTTCTTGCTTCTCTAATATTTTTCTTCTGTGCTTATTGCTCATGCAGTGCTTCTCGTAATCACACTTGGCCACACATGAGTACGAGCAGAACTCGCAAAAGTAGTTCATTTCCTTTGTGTGTCGTCTTTTCACGTGCATCTCTAGACTAGGCCTATCTCGAAATTCATGTCCACAGTTGGAGCATGCATGCAGGACTTTCGGCTTTGGGCACCTTTTGCTGGTTTGTTTACTCTCCACATCAGAGCTACAAGTCGATCCAACCTGACTGTTCTCTGCACCTACATCTACTGTCTTCATTTCACATGTACCATACTTTCTTTTGTCGCTTAACGAAGGGTCAACCATTTCCAGAAGAATCTGTGTGGGGCTGGAGATGTCCCCTGCTGACTGATCAGAGTGATTCTGTGTTGTTTCAGCCTCATTTGCAGCAGACTGCTCTGGTCTGTTTTCTGTTTGATAACTGGAAGTAGTTTCTGATTGTTTGAGTCGCACATTTTTCTGTGGTATTAGTAATGTCATTTCTGGTTGTGTTGGTACTGCTAAGTGTTCAGGCATATACGGGTCTTCTCTGTCTGTGTATAGAATGGTTTCCATCTCTTTAACATCAGAAAGAGCTGATTCTCCACAGTTCTTCTGAGAGACATTTTCTGTGTGGGAGCTCAAAGCCCTCCGAGAATGTTTCCGTTTAGAGTGAATTTTCAGTGCAGTTGGGGTTTTTGCCACAAAATCACAAAAAGAACAAGCACAAATGTCATTTTCCCCCAGGTAGCCAGTAGGGTCCGTATGTGTGGATTCAGAGTTATCCTGAGTTCCTTCATTTTCTTCTGACAGAGATGCATCTGCTGCATCAACATTAGTGGTATTGGCCCTTTTAGGTTCAGACAGAGTGCCCTCAGTGTCTGGCTCACTGAAAGAGGGTCCAGCTTTAATGTTCTTGGCCATTTCCTTCCTTGACTTTATTTTCCTCTTTAGTTGATCCAGCTGCGGCATTATCACTCCATCAGACTGTCCTGTGGAACAGATGAATAAATATATCAACACATAAGTAAAGAGAGCTGTTTTACTATGTGTAAAAAGCTGTTGATGCTTTGCTGTGGATTTCTGATGTCTTATGGTTTGCTACCCTCTAGTGTTCTCTTACAGAAATACAGAAAAAAGTGTTATTTGAATAAAACAAAAAATAATTTGTTTTTGTCTATCCATTACCCACATTATTGTTATAATCATTAATATTGTTAATAATAATGATAATCATCATACTAGAAAAAATTGTATATTGTATACATTAATACATTATATATATATATATATATATATATATATATATATATATATATATAAACTATATATTCTTAGATTTATATATATATATATATATATATATATATATATATATATATATATATATATATATAAATCTAAGAATATATAGTTTTCAACTACAACCCAGTTTCCCAAAAAGTTGGGATGCTGTGCAAAATGTAAATAAAACAGAATGCAATGTGAAAACCGTTTAAATCCTATATTTAACTGAAAATAGTACAAAGGCAACACATCCAATGGTGAAACCAAGCAAGTTTATTGTTTTTGGAAAAATATATGCCTATTTTGAATTTGATGACAGCAACATGTCTGGAAACTGAGGAAACCAATTGTTCTAGTTTTAAAAGAAATATTGTCCCATTTATGCTTGATACAGGATTTCAGCTGCTCAACAGTTTGTTGTCTCCTTTGTCATATTTTTTGTTTTATATTGCACCAAATGTTTCAAAGGGTGACAGGTCTGGACTGCAGGCAGGCCTGTTTAGCACCCCCTCTTCTACGAAGGAGCCATGATGTTTGTAATACATGCACAATGTGGTTAGGCATTGTCTTACTGAAATAAGCAACGCCTTCCATGAAAAAGACAGCATCTGGATGGCGGCATATGTTACTCCAAAAACCTGTACACATTTAAGTTATGTATTAGTAGTGCCTTCACAGATGTGCAAATCACCCATGCCATGTGCACTAATGCACCCCCATACAATCATGGATGCTGGCTTTTGTACTGTGCACTGATAAAAAGCCAAATGGTCCCTCTCCTCTTTAGCCCACAGGACACGGTGACAATGATTTTACGAAGTGTTCCTGAGCCCATGCAGTGATTTCCACTACAGAATCGTGTTTGTTTTTAATACAGTGCTGCCTGAAGCTCCGAAGCCATCCAGCATTGTTTTTCAGCCTTGACCTTTGCATTCAGAGATTTCTACAGATTCTCTGAATCTTTTAAGCATATAATGTACCATAGACTATGAAATCCTCAAGTTCTTTTCTATTTTATGTTATTAGAACTGTTATAGAACTGTATAGAACACTTTTCCCATGCAATCCTTAATAGAGAGGCAAATCCCTCCCCACCTTTACATCTGAATGATTCAGCTCTCTAGGATGCTTTTTTTGTACCCAATCATGTTACTGACCTGTGGCCAATTTACCTAATTACTCCTGAGATGTTCCACCAGGAGTTTTTTTTAGCATTATGTAACTTCACCAATCTTTTGTTGCCCGTGTCCCCTGGTTTTGGTTGAATTTTTTAATGAAAATACATGAACTCACATGACCTGCTCATATGTGATGTGCTAGGCTTTGATAAAAAAAAAATCCATATCCTGCAAATTGTACTACCGATAGAATGATGATTTGAGTTGTTTAAGTGATACGACCATCAGCTACACTGAGGTGGCACTGATAAAGTAATCCGGTGAATATCCTGGTGAGAATCCTTTCAAATAAACAAAACTCACAATAAAATTAAGAATTATTCAATTTGGGGTATGAATAAACCTAATAAAATGTAGATTTAGGACACACCCATAATCAAAAAAGCCTCTGATTTCATATTTTTCATTCTTACATTGAAAGCACAAAACAGGACTGTGTTACCTTTTTCATTTTCTGATTATAATGAGAAATCACTTGGCCATTACACACAAACCATATAGCATAGCCTTATTCGTTTGCCAAGCACAAACATGTTTTTTTTAAAGTGTGGTCTCATGTTGATGCAATATGTTCTGGGGCCAGACAACATACAGTGCCTCCAAGTAGTATTCAACCCCCTGCAGATTTTGCAGGTTTACACATTTGGAGTTAACTTAGCATTGTGAAATCTGGACTGTAGGTGGGCCTGGACATGTGAAATGCATTGCTGCAAAAAAGAATGTTATTCCTCTGTTTATTAATTTTTAAAAATTTGCAAAGTTTACCAGATGGTCAATTATTATTCAACCCCTCAAACCACCAGAGTTCTGTTTGGTTCCCTCAAGTATTAAGAAGTAATTGAGACATTAAGAACAATGAGCTTCACATGCTTGGATTAATTATCTGTTTTTCCCCGCCTTTTCTGACTATAAAAGCCCCACCCCTATCAAGTGAACAGCACTCATACATGTTCAACCTGGGAAAACTACGGAGCATTCCAAGGCCATCAGAGACAAAGTCGTGGAGGGTCACAAGGCTAGGGGATACAAAACCCTTTCCAAGGAGTTGGGCCTACCTGTCTCCACCATTGGGAGCATCACCCAGAAGCAGAAGGCTTATGGAACTACTGTTAACCTTCCACGGCCTGGACAGCCTTTCAAAGTTTCCTCCCGTTCCGAGGCCAGGCTTGTCCGAACGGTCAAGGCTGACCCAAGGACAACAAGGAGGGAGCTCCAGGAAGATCTCATGGCGGTGGGGACATTGGTTTCAATAAATACCATAAGTAACGTACTCCACCGCAATGGTCTCCGCTATAATTTAATTGAGCAACTTATATTTTTTGTTTGTAATATTTAGGCATCTGTTAATAAATGCTACTCTTCAAAGTTCGAAGGCTAATATACTGATCTCTCATTACATTTTCCTCCACTGTGTAGTCTTATATGGAACTCAGTCCTAGATCGTTACTAGACATTTTCCATCACCTTCACATATTCAGCTGCTTCTCTATCCTCAGAGCTGATTTTACATTTTCACCATTAATTACTTGTTACTTTCATGTTACTTAACCATTACTTACTGCTTTTTTGTGTCCCTCCAAGTAAAGTGATGATCTTCACTATTAATATACTAATTCTGCTACAAATTAATGATTAAGGGCAGCCTATAAACACTTCACTATGAATCCTAGTCAGGCCTAAAATACAGGCTGCTTATTCAAAAATGTATATAGACAATTAATTATTACATTAAATCAGTAGATTAATTAACAGATAATTAACAGGATTAAGACATTTAGTACTTGTTAGTTCTCATGTTACTTATTTTTGAGTAAACACACCTATCAATTCAATATCAATTTAAAACGTCGCAGTTAGTCCGCAGCTAATGCGTAATTAAGCTATGAACTAAGAACAAACAAACCTATCAGTTAACTGTGTCTCAATTAATAATTACTAAGTACTTAATCAGTAACTATTGCTTAATGACCAGTTAATCAATATATAAATAATGAGTATTTAATTACTTATTAGCATATACTTATCAATTAATTTGCGACCCTTAATGTAAAGTGTTACCCTTGCAACTATGTAAACCTGGTTCTGCCAGGTAAGAGAAAAAATTGCCTGTGTTTATTAATCATAAGCAATTACTGTAACGTAACTGAAATATCACTTGTAATACCAGTCTAATGATGAGTTCGGTTAAGTTTCTAAGTGAAAATAAGTGAACACTACAGGGTACAAGCATAAATATGTAATTTTTAACATATGTTAACATTCTTAACATACCAAAAAATAAAACATAAATTACAAAAAGTGCCATAATTTGGCACAGGTCACATTTTATGTTTTCTTTATCTCCCTAATATGTTATATTCAGCAAATAAACAGTAATGTGCAGAAGAATGTTTTTTGTTGAGGATGTGTACTTATTTTCACTTAGAAAACCAACACAACATAATTTGATTAGGGTGCCCAAACTTTTGCACATTACTATCAAAAAGTTTGAGATAAAAAGACAAAACAAAATCTCATGAAATTAAGACTTTCTCAAGCAAAAGCCAAAAATCAAGAAAGTCTACTTTCTAGGTTTCATCTGGACAGTGGTGGGTATCAGTGCTCGGAGACAACACCTTATGGTGCTTTATATGTTAATATTGAAACACATTAGCAATATTTTAACAGGAATAATAACATCAATTGTATGGCTTATTATAATAGCACTTTTTGCCTGATTTTGTTTGTCATTAAAATTCTTAACTAATAGCAGCATGCTGCTATAAGTACTTTAGCAAACAACCCTAACGACGATGAATGTGATGATTATAATGACAAAAGAGGAAGGACTATTAAAAACTGTTGTGGCATTAGCAAGGACAGGCAATACTACAATATTTATCATTATCGCGGCACATTACAACACATTATATGACAATATGCTGTTCTGGGCATATTGTGCTAATTGTTAGTACATAAAGAGCACTGATCCACTGCATGTAAATATGAATATTTCAAACAATGATAAATAAAGCTATGCATAGTAGGCATGTGAATGAGTTTCATCATTAACATAATGTTAACGACAGAGCATTTCTGTAGGGGGCTAACCCCAAAAGCTCCAGTTCAGAGAACACTGGAGAGTCTGGTGATCAAGCAAAATACTTCTAAGAGCCATTGTGAAATTTGCAATGGTAAGGCTAGAAAATATGTTCAATAAATCCTATATAACAGTTTTGTAATTGTTCCGTATTGTAGTACACATTTTTACATGCAAAACTAGACAAAATAGCCTACTTCAGTCTAATTTCTGGGCTTCAAACCATTGCCAGCATCTCATCCATGAAAGTTCAGCTGGCTACACAAAGTGTTCAACGGTCCTAGTGTATTTTTTGTGGTGCGTAGTGAAAGTTGATGATTCAGTCAGACATTCAGAACTGAAATGATTAGAACAGTTGAAACAGCAAAGTATATGTAAGGTACTTGCCATTTTAAACAGTAGTTCTACCATGTCCAAGCAATTCTGAATAGTAAAATACTGTGGACAATGGTATTCCTAATTACGATTCGAATTAATGCTGATGCTGAGCATCAGAAAACAAATCAGACAGGTACATGCCAGTAGCAGTAAAATAAAGAGAAAGATAGATACTGGACAAAAGTATTCTTAGGTACTAGACGGCAACGGTAAGCTCAAGATGGAAAATCATACTGCTACTTAAACTAGTTAGAAACTATATCTGAAATAATGTGTTAACTTGCATTACAGAGATTAAAACAATTTACAAATGTAAAATTGATTTGTGGTTAGTTAAACGACCATATTACACTTGCTGATGGGTGACACCTAAACTGAGGGGGAAGGGCTGCCCTTTTTTCAGGTTAGAGCCCCTCAAAATGTCTGTGCAAAATGTCATTACATTATACTGCTTTAAAATGTCAGGTAAATAGAACATCTTATTTATATTGTTAGTTGCATGTTAACTCAGGTTCAAATCCAACTAGACAAAATAAACCAAGCAATTGTGACTACGTTATGGACCTTTTGGAACTTTATGGTCTATGACAGGGGTTCTGAACCTTTTTGCGGTTAAAAAAAAAGTAGTAGTAATAATAATAATAATAATAATATAATAATAATATAATAAGTCATAGTGGATTGATAACCACTGCATTATGATTCAGAGCTACATTTAAGCCAAAGGTGTCCAATCTTATCCACAAAGGTCCGGTGTAGCTGCAGGTGCAAAATGAAAAATAACTAAAATAAAAAAAAAAAAATGACTCAATAAATAAATAAACAAATAAATAAATATTCCTTATTTTGATTGTAATTATACACATTCCTTTTTCTGCAGTTCTACATTTCTCAATTTATTTCTGTATTCATCTTTTTATTAATGTCAATGTTCATTTTTATATTTTCGCTTTTATTATTGATTCATTAATTCATTTATTTATTTCTGTATTTCTTCGTTCATATGATAATGACGGGGCATGTTTTTCACGTTCAGGTTTAGCAATCTTAGCAATCAAGACCAGGAGAAGAGTTCATTAAACTGTTCTTTCACCAACTCCAACTTTCAACTCAGTGTCACGGACAGAAAAACCTGACGATGAATAACTTTTGATAGCTTCCACAGGCAGTACATGAAAAAGGCATCCAAATGTCTGGGTATGATTTGAATTTTGCAGAAAAAGATGATGAACCCCCTCCTCCAAAGTTCTGAACACTACAGGGTCAACCTCTGAATCAGCAAAATGGAACTGTCCACCACAGCCTCCACACGAAAGAGTAAATAATCTGTACTTGCATTTTCAGCCAATATTAAAACGCTGTAAAATAATTGACAGCCCCTTTATTATCATAAGGACAAGGAAATACAGAAATAAATAGGGAAATAAATAAATATAGAAATGAATAGTTATAGAAATAAATTAATAAAAAAAAGAAAATGCAGACATATTAATTTATCTAAGTTTTTTTGTTAATATGTTAATTTCTATGTATATTTATTCATTTTTAGATTTATCATTATCTTTGCAATTCTATTTCATATATTAATTTACTGAGTCATTTATTTTTTACTTTATTTATTTTGGCAGATCTGGTCCAGCATACTGATGAGCAGTTTTAACGATGAAAACATTAATCAAACAAGGGGAATCAGGTGTGCTCCAGCTTGTTCTGAGGGAAAACCTGCAGCAACACCGGCCCTTAGTGGATTAGACTGGACAGCCCTGATTTAAGCTATACTTCTAAATTATTATCTAAATGATTTCCTAGCGCGTGTTCTGCTGCGCATAATTTTGGCTAGTCTGCTGGACAGCACAACTAACTAGCAAGTGAACACAACTCAACTATTCTATATTTAGCCATAGAGGCAGCGAATTGCGCATTGGTGGCCAATTCAGGGTCGAGTATGTAGGAGACTCGCACGGTGCACAGTTAAATTATATAATCAGTGAACATTTTTAATAGAAATTATCATTATAATCTGACGGTCGCTTTAGATTATAAACTTTACTTCGGTCTGCAGCACGAGATACTACATAGTTACACAGATAATCAGCTAACTCCGCCGTGGCTAGAAAGCTAATGGTAGCCAATTAAGAAACCAGCTTATATTTAGGACTTTGATTTAACCTACATAGAATCTGTAGAGCAGAGAGTTCCGTTCTACTTAGAATATAATCAGTCTGCGCTCTTCAAACGTAATTAGATTATAATCGGCACTCAAGTCTTAAACCCATGATGCTAACTAGACTGAAGGCCCTACTAGCTACACGATAATAAATTCATACACTTATCAACGGCCGACTTCATACTACCAGAAACTGCACATTAAATAAAAACTGCATAAAATACAGAAACTTAAGTACGGCAGAATGTTTACTAAAATGTAGGTGTACTATTATTTTTATTAAAATGTTGCTCTGGTTCAGAGTTATCGGTCAGCAGATCCACTTCCTATTGATATGAAGGGTTGAGCGGCGTGGTGACTATCCAATAGAAAGAATGGAATATACGCTTCGCTCCAATAAGAATAGAGGGGGCGGGCCTTATGGATCGGCTCAGAAACGACGGCAGCGCAGAGGCCCAAAAAGACTATTTACGACCGCCAAGAAACGGTACTTTAAGCGCTACAAAACGAAAAGGACGTGTTTAGAAATTGCATCTGGCCGCTCTAAAAATAACTTACACACTGAAGGCATCACTCTCACCGTTGTGTTTCCTTCTTTACCTCTAATTTCCCCCGCTTTCGGTCACTCCGCGCTTTCCGTTCCGGTCACTAGCGGCGCGCCGTACAGTGCTCGTGACGTCATATCCCTGCTGCGTAAATAGAGAGCATATTTATAAGTGAACACAAGAACGTTTCACATCCTCTTTTGTTTGGTGTTTATTAATTTAGCCTGAGATGTAAGGCATTTGTTATGTTTTTCAGCGTTCACAGTATGTAACGTCTTATCAGCAAACTTAACTAATGCCAAATTATTTGTCCTTGTAACTGCAGACTATTTTGTCACTTAAATATCTTACGTATAAATACACTGTTCAACAGGTTCGAAAGGATGTTTTCGATTATATAAAACATACTTTGTTGCAGGTGCCCATATAAAATGATTCTAATATGTGACACTATCACAAAATGAACAGGTGAATTCACAAGGAATTTCAGTAGTATCTTACTAATTCACAACACTGCACTTAAAGGATTTAAACTCAAATGTATAATTTTGAAAGTAAGGTAATTCTTTTCAAATGGTGGTAATAAACAATCCTCAAGCTATAACGAACTCAAAGTGCATAAATTCACATGCTATTACACCTGAACTGTGCAGTGGCCCCACGTATGCACACACACTCTCTCATTCTCACGCTCTAAGCCAGTGTTCCGTCAAATTGTATTACCTTGTCGAAATGTCCTACCATACCACACGTTTTTAGGTAGCACTCTACATAAAACTATAGGTAGGATGTTCTGATGGCTTAAATTACCCTATCAGAAAATGCTACCTGCACCGAAACGTATAGGTAACATCAGTTTGATAACCTAAATCTCCTTATCAGAAAACATTACCAGCATTAAAAGAATAATTAGGATGTTTTGATCGCCTGAATAATCTTATTAGGGAGTAAGCAATAACATTAAGCTAACTCTGTACTTAACATTTAAAACACAATAAAATGTTTGAAACTTAAAGTTACTACGCTATAGTCATGATATGCGCATGCTCAGTAGGATCACTCGATGTGTAGGACAAATTGTTAGAACACCGGCATTGAACCCTTTGCTGACGTTGCAGGTGTATGTCGTCGCTAGTGTGAAATGGCCTCTTCACTCTTATGAGCAAAAAACAGTAGTTATAACTCACTTCGTTGCTGAACTCTCTCTCTTAAACGTTTTCTCTCAGTCTCTCCCTCCCTTTCTCGCACTCGGGCAGCGGCAGCACATGTGAGGGGCGGCTCGAGTGGCTTGGAGTCGCTAGGCTAGTTAGCTGAGGTGTGGTACAAACTTCCATAGTGTCAGCGGAAGTTTTGGCTTGCCGCTCGCCCAAACCGCTAACTGGTTATGGCTGTCAGGGGAGGTCTAGACTTTGGTTGGACAGGAGAAGGCTTGAGCTAACCAAACAGTCCACTATAAGCTACTACAATGAGGCTGACTGCTAGCCTGAACTAGGCTAGTGCAGTGAGTGTCGAACTTGCTGGCTGAACTGTTAGAAGTACAAGTACAAGATATTACCATCTTATGCCTTGTATCACAGTTATTTACATGATTTCGGCTGATAACATGGCTTTTATCACGGTTAGTTACGGTTGCTAATTGTGGTTGTTCCACAGAATCGACGTACAACTTTCTCGCTTTCATACTTGTTTCCACTTTCCTTCCTCGTCCCCCTAGTCCCACCCCTTTCTCCTTGCAAAGCCACTGACAATGAGTTTAGTTCATGAACTGAAACCAAATTTAAAATATATGTATTAATAAATACAAATAATACAAATATATGTATTAAAAAATATATATATATTTAAAATATAATTTAAAATGAGCGGGTCCAAGCACGCATAAGCCCAAGAAGCTCTCATGCACTTTGAGCCAAATAGGCCTAATAAGGCCTAATGCAGTTTGGGCCTTCGAGGCGGAGAGGCTGAAAAAAGTCTGAGTTCCTCAACAGGCCTTCATTTGTCATGAACAATGAGCAGGGGGTTTTAAACCTAATATATGTTTATATTTCAATTTACTGATCTACAAAGGTTTGAAGAAATACATGAGTAATGGTAAAAATTTCTGTCTTTGTTGCATTTGCAAAGTATTTAGTTTCTCCATGTTAAAGGCTTTGATAAGCATGACATAATGAGTCCCAATGCACTCATAAGGGACCTTTTAGCAAAATGGACCTCAGTGAAACTGGGTCAGAATTGGTCAGAAGGTCTCCACATGTTATGAAAATTAATCAGGGACATTCATCAAAGATGTTCACTGAGTTTTGTTCAGATTGACCTTTTGACCTTGGTATAATAAGCTGTAGTCTTTAAATGAATAATTCAAAATACCAGAGAAGGAGTCCAATGTATGACATAACATGTAATTACAAAGTTATTCAGATCAATGAACTGAATCAAAAGACAACTCTAATTTATCTGTAGACTTTGTAGTATTGTTGTAATAACATTTTTAAAGATTTTAGGTGTTTTTCAGTGTTAAAGCACCCCCTATTGGCCAATCAGGATCAAATTTTGCAAGCCACATCAGAGTCTCAATATATGGATATAGTTAAAATTTTGAGATGATCAGACCAATGAAGGATGAGCTATAGTAATTTAAGATAGCAATGCCATGATCGCAATGATTAAGTGCTGGAGGGTGACCACAATGAGCAAAAAATTTAAAATGTGCTGGATAATTATTTACCTACAGAGGACACAGAGTATTTCAAGACAGTTTTGAGAAGTTAGCTTAACATTCCACGGACTAGTTCGAAAAGTGCTAATTTCAAACAATTAACAATTGAAAAAAAAACTATGCACTTTTTAAACACACTTATAATGACAATATTGTTTGGAACACTGTACTACATGAGGTCATCCAAGGTGTTTGACCAAAAATGAAAATCTGTACAAGATATACTTGATTTTCTGTAATAGCGCCCAGAGGCCAAATATTTTCTTCACAGGTTGTTAGAAGGTGGTGAGATAGAGACAGCTGTCAAGTATCATGAGGATTGGCCAATGCTAAGCCTGTCAAATGGCTGCTGAAAGCTTATTGGCCGATGGCGGCCATAAATTTCAATATATCAAAGTGTCCTTAACGATTCACTTATAGTCTTACTAATAGATGGTACTTGCAAAGTTTCAACTTAATCGGATGTATGGATGCTGAGAAACAGCTATTTAGGCATTATTAAGCATTTACAGCGCCCCCTAATGACCTATGCGCACAACCATTGATAGACTACCTCAGAGTCTCCTTGGGAATAAGCCTGTCGAGTTTTGAATTTTTTGGGTGAAGGATTCTTGAGTTATAGATTTTTCAATTAAATAAGAATTATTTTGATTTTTATTAATTTGCATATGGCAGCCATATTGTTTTTCAAAATTAAAAATGTGCTGGGTAATTATTGAGGTTGAGACTATGCTGAATTTTTTGACACCGAAAACTTGAGGATCGGATGAAAACTGTAGGACTACTTCGCCAAAGTAGTTTTTTGCATATTATGCAAATTAGCTCAAAATCTAAGTAGACAGAACTTAATGGTCCAAATTACAAAATTGTTTTGTTGGACCCAAGGAAACAGGACAAAAATGTGTCTTGTCTGTCAAAAATCTGGGGAAGGAGTTAAAGGACCAAGCGCATTGTGTTGCGCAATAGCGCCACCTTTAGGCCGATTGGGCTCATGTCACGCGCCTGAGTAGCGGGAGGGACTACTACCTATTCACCAAGTTTCATGTCTCTAGGACCTACGGTTTGGTCTGGGCGATTCGGTTTATCGGAGAAAAAGAATAATAAGAATAAGAAAACCTCTAACAAAAACAATAGGGTCCTACGCACTTCGTGCTTGGACCCTAATAATAATAATAAGAAGAAGAAATATAGCCGCAAGCGGCAATCTGCGGGGTCCAAGCACCTGGACGACCTCGAGGAGTAAAGCAGTGGCCCCTGGTCGTAGACTGCAGCAGACCTTCAGATTTTTAGGAAAGTTCTCCTTTTCCTATGATTAAGGCCACTAGCTGATATATCTGCTACAATCTACGCAACTCATTTTAACATCCATGACGGGGATTCAAACCCACAACCCTAGAGTTCAAAGGCAGAGGCTCTAACACTGAGCTATAAGACGTTTGTGGCAAAATTGCAGTTTTTGAAACAATTTATTGAAAGGACACAACAAGGAACCACGCACCATTTTAGGACAACGTCGCAGCATAAACTAATTTCATGTCTCTGGACATAGAAAGAAGCAAATCTTTGGATTTTTAAGAAAGACCCTTCATTAAGAATAAGATAATTAAGCGTGTGTTCACAACAACTGCTACAGCACCATCCAACACCAGTACAGGGAATCAAACCCACGACCTTAATCTTCAAAGGCAGATGTTTTCATGGTGAGCTACAAGAGGCCCACAGCAGACCTATTTTTTTGAGAGAATTTATCGGTCTAGAGCAATAAGGAACCTAGCACCACCTCATTGGGAATTAGTTTCGACCTTGCAATTACTGTGACTATTGAGTAGTATAATTTCAAACGAAATCATAATGCACTGTCAGTTTGTCATTTCGTATATTTGTGTCAAATTTGTTTTTATTCAGACAATTATTGGTGTAATTTTAGCCTTTTATGGCAGAATAAGCCAATTCACACCAAATTATTCAAATCTTAAGCCACACTGTGCTTAAGTCATATTTTCAATATGATTGTTTTAAGAAAAATTTAATTTGATTTAAACTCAAGAATTAGTAAGAAATGTCTTCTCCATCTATTTTTAACTGTGATATTACTGAAATATAAGACTTGCATATGCCAAATTGTTAGGTTTAGTGGAAAACAACATTCAGAAATACACATATCAACAATGACATGTGCAGTTACTGATTTGGCTCCCTCTGGTGGCCAGAGAAAAATAAAACACGTTGCTCTGACTAAAATTTGCTGAAATCAAATTATAGGATTTCCTGTACAGTACAAACTACACATATTTGCAAAGTGACAATTCTCATTAGATGCATAATTTGAAATGTTATTTTATTTTTAGACAAGAATAATTACATTTTTTTTAATTACAGATTTTTTTAAAAAAAATATTGTTCAAGACTTTTGTTTTGAAACCAGGTTTGAGACGACAACATTTCAGCAAGCAGTATGAAAACATCAGTTTTCAAACTCTGATTTAAAGAAAAACACTTTTAAACAAAAATTGTTTAAAAGACTTATTTGCAAAATTGTCAGGCACGGTGGAAAGCATAAAATACAGAAATGGTTTTGACCTAAAGAAATACAGTAAAGCTTTCCACTAATTGTTCTTAAGTAGTTAAACATTGACATGATTTGTCAATTACTGATTTGGCCCCCTCTGGTGGCCAGAGAAAATACTCTTGCTCTAATCAAGAGGTGTTATCAAATTTCCTGTACAGTTAAGCAACCAACACATATTTGCAAAGTGTTAATTCTCATTAAGATGCATCTTTTTTATCCTTACAGAAATATTATACTTTCTCAGCTGATTGTCACTAAATCAGTTTATGAATCAGAGGGTTTCTTTTTTTTTAAATATAGCATTTGCAAAGTTCGTTTCAAAATGCATAAAATTGAAGAGTAGGGTGTTTGTAGTGAGGCTTGTAATTGCTTTTAAGTCTGAAGTTTGCAAATTAAATGCATTACATGTTTTAGTTATAAAATGGTGCACATTGGTTTGCAACAGTTACCTACAATTTATATTGTTTCAAGACCAACTTTGACAGAATTCAATAAAAACCTAAGCTTCTAGAAAGTGCTCAAAGACACCATACAAGCAAGACAATCAACTTCAAATGAATAAACGAATCTTGAATCATGAGTCATATGAAGCCATTTATTTTCAATGACCAGCAAACACTGCTTACTTCAAAACTGCTCATTTAAACAAGTCAAATTGGTTCAAACAGGCATCAAGTTCTCTTAAAAACAGAAAAGACATTGTAGGGAAACATTACAAACCCAATACTTTTTTTTTTAAACAAGTTGCTTGAGAGGGAAAAAAAAAAAAAGAAAATCATTTAGAGCAGCAGTTAACTCACTTAAGTGGGAATGCCTTAGTTTCAGGTTCATGTTTATAAACATTTGTGCATAATGAATTTTGTCTGGCATCTATTCATGATGGACTTGATTAAAAAATTACAAATGTCAGGCTTTGGCAAACTTCAGAGCAGCATGCACCAAGTATG